GGCTGCCCGCGCCCCGACCGCAGCACCGGGGATCGCGTGCGCGCCGTGTTCACCTCAGGTTTCGGCTCGGCCGGTCTTGAAGCCCGCTTGAGCTACAAAGGAGAAGAGCAAAGGCCTGTAAATGTAAAGTGCCGTTTATTTATTAATTTTGTATCCTCCATGAGGAAAATATTGAGTTTAAAAAAAAAAAAATTGCATCAACCAAACCCTCCGTCTGCTCTCTTCTCCTCCAAAACCCAAGCGCCAAAGCTAAACCGCCCCCGAAAGAGCCTCAAGCTTCTTACTCGTCCCAGTCCCTACCTTTTTCTTGAATCAAAGGCAAAAATTGAAGCATCGCAGCTCCCAAATCCCGCCGTGGCCAAGCTGGCGGAGAGGGATGGTTATCCCGACTCTTTGGTGCAGAGCGGTGCTCTGACGGGAGAAAAGGGGCATCGGGAGCTGGGAAGGGAAAGCCCTTTATAACCTGCATCAAAATCAGGCAGCGCCAGGGTTGGGAAATGGAACATGAAAGTTGTCAAAAGGGAGAAGTGTCGGTGATGGAGGCGCTGCCACGGCTCAAGAAAATGGGTCCCCCCCCTATTTTGGCGCTGGTGGCCCTGGCTCCCGCCGGGCACCATCTCGATGCGGCGATTTCCCCCTTTGCTGGGGAAGGGGGTGACCCAAGGCAGGAGCGGGGCCCCCGCACGCCGCTTTTGGGGGGAGGTGGCAGCAGGTCAGGCCGGGGGGACCGAGCGCAGCGCGTGGGGACGTGTCGGCAGCCGAGCCGCGCGCGGGCAGCGCTGTGAAAGCGGCAGCAGCCCCGAAAGAGGGAAAAACGACAACAAAACACCAAGGGCTGCTCCCTCCCTGCCCCATTCCGCTCGCTCCATCACCTCCACGCTCAGGGATTCGCCATCCAGCGCTGCAACGTGGGGAAAGAGCAAGGGAACGAGTCGCTCCGGTGACTTGTTTCTGCATCAACCAAGAATGAAGGGGGGGTGTTTAAGCAACATAAAGCCCAATGAGGCCGTGGGGGCCAGCCACAAAACCCTCTTGCACCCACTCTGCAGCGGGGCCTGAGGACGAAGCCGGCCTGGCCGCGCGGCCGGCAGCCCTGAAGGTCAATATCTGAAGTCTCCCTGCACTAGAGGTAGCTCGCGAGAAGCAGGAGCCTGCAAGAAGCCAGCAGCCTGGTTTACATTTTTTAAGCTTTAAGTCCTTTCCCTTAAGGAAATAAGAACCAGGTCTGCCCTGATGGAGAGAAACATTCGATATATTCACTTGGAAAACTCCAAAAAAGAAAAAGAATATTTTTACATATAAATATATGACAGAGTCACAAAGCCAGTGCGGGACGGCCCTGCAGGGAGCTGCCTCTGTGCATCACAAAGCAGAGGGGGCTGCTCGGGCTTGAGCGCGGCAGTAAATTTAACAGAGGTAAAGCAGGACCCGAAAATACTGTCAGTCCAGCTTGGAGACCCTGTTCGCTTTCGGCAAGTCCCCTTCCCCAAAGCTCCGGGTGAACTGAGCTTTGCTGGGTGACTTTCAATTGCCTCCAAGCAGGCTGCAAGGTGCCACTGAGCTCCTCCGCGACCTCCTGCTTCCCTGTCCCTCGGGAAGCTCCTGCCGAAACCCCCTCGAGGCCAAGCAGCCGGGAGCGGGACGCAATCCCGGCCGGCACCGTCCCCACGGAGAGCCCCGCGCCGGCCGGGATGGACCAGCCCCGTACACGGCAGCTTATTCCTTATTTCTCTTCTGTAACCAGCCGAGAGCTTGGCCTGAAGTCCTGCAGATCAAGACAATTCACTAACTATCCAGTGCATGACATAACAGGCTTTAAAAACAACCTTTCTTTTTTCTTAAAAAAAACACACAAAACACAAATCTTGTCCTCTCTTCTACCTGCCAACAGACCCCCAGCCCTCCCGGGGTCAGTACATGCAGCCCTGGCACAACCGGGCACTCGGCTGGAAGAGGGTGGGAGAGAATTCCCTGCTACGCTCCTCTTTAGGGAAGCTAAAAATAATTCCCCGGACCTCCCCCCGGTTCGCAGTGCACCTGCCAGCGTCCCCCGGCGCGCCCTCCGCGAGGCCCGCGGCCTCCCCTGCTCTGTGCCAGCACATGCCAGACGGCAGCACCATTTCGGGGCTTGGAGGAGCCCCTCGGCCGGCTGCTCCAGCTGGATCCTGCTGGATTTCTCCACCGACCGCCTTCGAGCCCGCACGAAGAGCAAGGAGGAGATGAAACGCATGAAGACCCTTGTCCCCGCGCCCCTGCCACCTTCTCCCCATACACGAAAGCGTGCACACGTGTTTTTTTTTTTTTTTTTTTTTAACCCAAGTGAACATGTTTCCAAAAAGAGAAAAATTAACATAAGCAGCACCACGTTTCCCAAGTGTCAGGAGCTCCAAGAGACCGAACGGAGCTGGAGCGGAGGCCTGGAAAACCCCCAAACCCAAAGAAACGAAGCCCGTTTTCACTCGTGGGGGTTCAGCTGGCAGACATTTCCGAGCGATGGTGCGTTGCCGTTTGGACACGAGGTGAGAAAGGGCCAGGGACGAGGCAGACGGGCGGCTCTGTCATTTACTGAAGGGCAGGAAATGGTGACAGATAGGCAGATGTGCTGGCACCAGGCGGGCAGCTCGGCGGTCACATGGCGGTGCGGGTGGGAGTGCTGGGCTGGTTTAATCGCAGAGTTTTGCACAGCCAGCCGGCAAAATCCACCTCTTCCACTTCGGAGCGCTTGATAAAGGTGTGATTCTGAAAGGAGAACAAGGCCGGGTGAGGAATGCGGCCCTTCTGCGCCCTGGACCCTCCTCATGTTCCTACAGGGGTAAGCAGACACCCAAAACTGCAACAAAACCTTCTTGGAGCCCTTAGCCCCCCGGGGCTGCCTCGCACTGCTGGATGGCATCAGCCTGATGAGAAACCCTCTCCAACCCCAGGCAGGTCCTTGCTGCAGACAGTCCGTGCCAAGGCCAGGAGATCCCTGGAGCTGCAGCTCCAGCCATTCTCAAGCAGCGCAACAGCATCTCGAGAGCAATTTCTAAGTATTTAGTCCTTCCAGCCCTGTGAGAGGGGTTGTGGCACAAGCGCTGGGTACACAGCACTCCCATCACCCGTGGGATGGATGCGTGGATGGGGCACAACAAGGAATTAACAGAGAGAGCAAAACGTGGCCAGTCTCCTTCCCTGGGAGCAGACCAGGCTGCCTCTGCACACAGGTTGGCAGAACCAGGTGCGGGCTCCGTGCTGGAGCCCTCAATGCAGGCACCTCATTTGTCCCTTTGAAGGAAAAGCTGCTGCCTTGGGGACAGCTCCACCAAGAGAGGTGAAGGACAGAAAAGGGCACCTGTCACACAAGGGGCATGTGCCCTGGGCAGGCTGGCAGCAGGGAGCCCAAAGCTGGAGCTCAGCATCACACTGAGGAGGAAAACCAAGTCTAACATGGAAAAGAGAGACAAGAGAGACTCCTCTCTGCTGTTTGGCCCAGGTAACCCTCTCAGAGCCAGGCTGGTGTTGGAGCCATACAGTTCCCATCCCTGGCTCTGCTGGGGAGGGACAGCAGAGACTCAGCAAAGGCCAGATAACATCATTACCTTTGATTCAAAGGTAAGTGAGTCACTCTCCCCAGCTCTGTTTGTCTTCTCCTGGTCTCAGCTGGGGAGTTTCTGTGCTTTTGAGCAAAGGAGGCAGAGAGGGATGGGATGGGGCGGCACTTTGCAGACCTGGAAGCACCCATTATAGAAAGAAAATTGCTCTCCCCACTTACCATCAGCATCTTCAGATCTGCCCGTTCTGCTGGGTTTTTAATTAAGCTGAAATGAGAAGAACAAAAGAGCAAAACCAGCACTGAGACACTTCTTGAGAGAAGCTGCTTATCTGCCTGGAGAGGTCTCCAGCTTCGCTGAAAACCACCCCTCCTTCTGGCTGCCTTCCCCAGGAGACCCGCAGCATGGAAATGGCTCAGAAAGCATCACTTCCAAGGCCTCAGCTTTTAGGCAGAGCTGTCAGATCCATCTGTTCTAGGCTGCAGATGAACTGCTCCCTCCCTGACCCCTGCAAACAGAGAGAGGGACCTGCAGTTTTTCAGGCATTATGATTTTGCAGTGTCCATTTTGCAATGTGCAATTAAGGGGGGCTGCAGCAGTGTATCTAGGTGGGACCTCAGTATCAGAGAGTCTCAAAAATCAACCGTAGGCCTGAAGCCTGCAAGGAAGTCATAGCCAAAACCTCCAGCCACAGCAGGGCCTCCTCACACTAACAGTCTGCCCTGCTGTCCCACTGCCAGGCTGGAGCACAGGTTATGTTTGGAGGTTGCAGGGATAGTGCGAAATGTAACCACGAATAAACTGCTTTTATTCCAAGCCTTCACAAGGAAGGAGCTTCCAGTGCAACACCGGGTCACTGCAGCCAGGACAGAAGGAGAGATTGCCTGAAGAGCGTGGAGAACACTGCATTTCCCTGAATAATTTTTGCTTGGAAATGGAACTTGCCAAGCCATTAGCGAGCATGTTCGGATCTCCACCTTCAGAAGTGAGCAGCGATCCTTACCATTTATTTACAAACTCCTGGAAGTCTTGTGTGAAAACTCCATTCGGCAGCTTGGGAGGTGGCTGCGGAAAGAAGGAGAAAGGTTTTCTGCATTGCTGTGTGTTAATGGGTCAAGAAATACAACGTCACCTACAATCTTTAATGAGACACAGAAAAGCTTCCAAACCACCTTTCTCCTGAAAACTACCCTTTGAAACCAGGAAACTGCTACCTGCCATTTCTACTCTGGCAGCACATGGCAGGGCTGGCAAGAAACTGCTGCCCCAGCACCAGAGAGCAAATGGGGGTGGGGGTGGCAGCTCTGAATTCCTGCCAAAGCTCCGAGTCCAAAATTGCAGCATCAGATTCTGGATCCAACCTTGCAAATCCCAGCTCCGTCAACACCTATGGCAGATGAAACCATTCCAAAAAAAACGGCAATTAGAGGCAACTCCTACCACCTTAAAAGGGGAAGCTGCTCTTTCTCCAGACTCATCAACTCACTGCTCGAACAGATACTGCTTCGAAAGGTGAGACATTTCAGCCTGGGGTTTTAGCACTGGCCAACTTTCAGGCTGCCCTTACTCAAAAAGCTTGAGCTGAGACGAGAGGCACAACCCCGGTGTCTGCACGGAGGGAGCACTCGTCCCTTGCAGAGCTAGGGAGGAGCGCGTTGAAAACATCTGACTGCAGAAGGAACAAGTCATTACACCAAGAGCTCCCCTCCCTCGTTGCTCTCCCGATGCTGTTTTCAAGGGTATAATGAACTCCCATCTGCAGAGCCTTATTTCAAAATCAGAGGTGTTTTTGTGCTACAGATGGGAGGAGAAAGCAGGGAATGAGAAGGGAAAGATTTCAGTGCAGCTCGGAGAAGATGCTCTGTCAAAACCTTCAGTTCGTATTAATTGGCAAGCAAAGGTTTTCTAGCTTATCCTGAGCAAGTAGAGGGGGCATGACAGCCCCTTGGCACCCTGAGAGAAGCCTGGCAGAGATGGTAGCAAGGAAATACCCACCTCATTCACTATATAGTCCAGCAGCTCAAAGATGGCCATTGCGGGCCGGCTGTCCATCCCGTAGCCTGTGTGGTTAAGACAACAGAAATAATGCTGAGATATTGCTCAGGGACAGCAAAGGGCTTCGTCTCACGTAAACAGAAAGCGTGTTGTGGGGCTTTCTATCGATCAACTTGGGAACTGGCTTGTGGTTGAAAAATAACAAAAGAAACCCCCGTCCCCCAAGCCAAACAAAAACCATTATTCCCAAATTCAGGATTTCTATCACCAATCCTACAGGCCAGATTTATTTCCTTGCTGGGAGTGCCTGGAGAGTACAAGACCATACGGCTTAGCAGACTGGAAGCGGTTCCAGAGCCTTCTGCTTCCAAACAAGTGACTCAAATGAAGCCACCAGCATCACCCGAGCACGGCCATGCTGAGGCCTGTGCAAGTCTCGTAGCTTCAGGAGAGCTCCCAGAAGAATTGTTCCCAGTAAAGCTGCCCTAGCTTGAACACAGTAGCATAGGCAGAGTCCAAGGAGTGACATGGGACTTCATCAATTTCTTCTCAAAGCATCTCCTCAAAGAGGTTCACGCCCTGGGTGCAGTTCACCCTGTCAAGGTCTAGAGTGTCCTCAGCAGAGGTGACTTTTCTGTATGGCCTGAGCCTGCCTCAGTGGCCCCTGAAACAGCCTTCTGCCCTCCCAGAGGGAGTCTCAGAATAGACAGCAAAGAACCTTGCATCCCACAGAGGGATGGATAATCTGATTTTTGGGGGGCCTTTCTGTGGGCCACAACAAGGGCAAGAAGAACCCATGATTCCCTGAAAAACTGACACCTTCCAAATCAAATCATGAAACCCTTAATACATCCTGATGAGCACTCCATGTCTGCACCTTCGCATTATCCTGAAAGCAGCAGCCGGAATCCCACATCTCTCTATAAGGAATTACAAAACCCCTCTGTAGCAGTGGATTCTGCTGTTTGCACAGGTTCAGACTGCTTTGCAGAGAGGAGCGATGCAAAAGCCCTCCCTGGAAACAAGCGCCACCCCCAACAACCTCATCAGTCAAAAGACATCATCAGTCTTTTGCTCACCCAGTCACACAAGCAACATTCAACCCCTTCACCCCCACATCTGCGCGTTGCTTTCAATGCATCCGGCAGCCCCTACCACTGATGGGGCGTCCTGGGGGCCTGGCCCGCGGCGAGATGCTGTGAGACTCTCCCTCTGCTCCGTCCACCACAGGACGGCCAAATATTGCTTCCAGTTCCTTGGAGTCTGGCGGGGGGATTGGGTACCTTCCAATGGACAGCTCCACTAACGAGAGACCCATGCTCCAGATGTCAGACTGGACCGAGTAATGGGTGCCCTGCAACCGCTCGGGCTGGAAGGAAAGAGCACAGGAAAAAAAATACAGGCCTTAGCAACGTGGAGGCACTTCAGTACACAGATTAATATAGAAATCATACACTGAAATTGAAGTCAGACTCACACCTTGACCCCCCACACTCTCCAAGCACAGGCCTTAGTAACATGGAGGTACTTCAGTACACAGATTAATATAGAAGTCATACACTGAAATTGAGCTCAGACTCCACACCTTGACCCCCCACACTCTCCAAGGGAAAGGTTTGGCTCTTGCAAGCCACATTACTTCCCTCACCGGGTTGATGTGTAGCAGGGGTAAAGCTGTACGGAAACTCGAAGTAATCCTAAAAGCTTTTTATGATTAGGAGCCCTCCAAGGGCCCAAGGCTCCTGGAGGCTGCCAGAAGCGTTGATATGAGCAGGGGAAACGCGTACGATGAGTGGAGGCCCCTTTCCTGGAAAGGTCATGTGCAAACACAAAGCACCTGTATGCATCTAATCAGCAGCTACGGCTGAGTAGCATTTACAACTGCTTATGCCCGGGAGTTCAGAGTACACAATGAGTCTATATCTCAGCAAGCTGAGATTTGATGAACTCAACTAACGAAGAAAATATTTTTTTTCCTGCTCATTCCTTTTAATTCCCAAGAGGGATCTGAGAAGCATAAAATCTAGCCTAGTCTCTTACCCCTGCAAAAATCCGCACAAGTCGCCTATACTGGTAGTTTTGAGTCAGCCGCGCAGAGCCAACGGCCGAGCGCGGAGGAGACGCTACTTTTAAATAGACTCTGTCTAACTATAACTGTACTTCAGTAACTGTTCCCAAAATACAAGAGCAGCTCAGAGCTCTGTAGGGAAGCACAGGCTTTCCTAATAACCCATGGCTGGCCCCAGCGACGGCCACGTGCAGCACAGGGAGCAGACACCCACTCTGCAGCACCTGGGGGCCAAAAAACTCTTCCCTGTTCTGCAGCTGGGTCATTACATGCTGATTATGACTTTCTTTTAAGGAGGAGGAGCAGCCAGCTCTTTTGCACCTGCCCTACGCGCAGGTTTGACGCCCCTTTTGCAAGCTAGGGAACACACTTGGAATAGAGGTGTGTGTATCAGTGTCAGTACCTCCTCCTCATCAGGGCACTCCATTTCTCACATTTGGATAGGTTTTCACTTAAAGAAAGAGGAGAGGATATTTTTGAACCCACAAACACCAACTGAAGAAACCAGAAGTCTCTATAGGATCAGCATTTTTCCTTGCAAGGCTCTCTGGCCTTCCCCATACACCACCACTGCCTGGGCACAGGTCAGAGCTCATTAGCTGCCCTGCAATAACCACTAGAAAGCAGTGCTGCAGCCCAGGTGAAGCAGAAAAGGTCGTGAAACTACGACCTGACAGGACACTATCGCCTTAAGACATCTTGCTTGTATCATAAAGAAAGAGTGTCCTCTGGTCTAACCCTCAGAGAGTGCCCCAAAACAGACAGGACAGTCCAGGTGAGGGTGGAAACACGGAGCAAAACCGTAAACAAATGGGACATCACCCAACAAAGTGTAAAAGTGCTTAACTCTCACCCCCAATTGAGCTGAACCCAAGTTGTAAAAACCCACCCAAAAGTTGAAAGGAACTTACAGACATGTAAGACCGAGTTCCCACAAAAGAGTTGGCCATGGAGTCAATAAGCTGCCCACTGACCCCGAAATCACACAGCTTTATCTCTCCTCGGGAGTTAACCAGGATGTTAGAGGGCTTCACATCTGCGAACAGTAAAAGAAAAGAGCATCAACACAATGCTAGGTAAAAATAATCCAGGGCTCTTGCACCACAAGAGGTTATTTTTAGGTTCTTCCTCTCACCTCTGTGCATGATTTGGTGTTTCTCTCGCAGATATGCCAAACCCCTCAGAACCTACAAGAAAACCAATGACAGGATGAGATAAGGGGCTGGAAAGTGCTTTCCCTTTAGCAGGGCACTTTGCGTAAACTTTGCGAGCTGCCACAGTGTAGCTTCACTAGGAAAGCCTCCCTGTAGCAACTGTCTCAGATTTTGCACTTTTATCACCATGGACTGGAGTGAGCAACATCTGTTGTTTAAATCTGCTCAAAACAATCTCTGCCAAGTTAGTCACAAATCTTCGGTTTACTGCCCAAGAAAGTTACGCCTGAAACTTTTCCAGGAAAGGCCAATGCTGTCTGGTGCGGTGCTTTGCACTGCAAGGGGCCAGAGCTATAGAAAGTGGGTGGAAATAGATTCTTCCTTTCCACCACTAATGCACCACTGTCTATTACCCTAGTTAGGGGTTATCTATTATCCTAGTTAGGATAGAAAAGCAATACATGGGGGAAATCAAGAAAGCCTGCTATGGCAGGACAAGCATCATTCCCAAGAAATGCCCAGAGAACACTCTCTAAGCCTGAAGTGGAACTCACCGCTATACTGACTTTCCCTAAGATCTCCTCAGGAATTCTTTTGGCTTCTTTCAACACTTGATCCAGAGAACCGCCATCCTGGAACAAAGAAATTATTAACACACAAAGCCCAGTAGAAAAACAGATACAGTCTAGCATGCCCACTGAGGTTAAGTGGTGTAGGAGTGGTACACAGCAACCCAGCTCAGCTGCGAGCAGTAACTTGCTACCAAAACCCCTCCCATTAAAGGAAAAAGATCTCTCACGATCTAAGCTTAAGCATCTCTGTTAAAACTGATTCTTGATGAAACTATTTTAATACTGTCGTTCATCATCTCTACTTCTTGCTGTTAGGCTATTAGTTTTCAGTATGACTTCCCTCAGAGGTCAATGCAAAAATGATGCTGTCAGCGCTGACCTGGAGGAGAAACAGCATTCTTCCCTGCCAGAGCCAACAGAAAATGCACGTTGCAGTTCAGGGAGTTCTGTAGAGTGGCTGATTTACAACATTTCCGCTTGGCCAGCCCCCAAACCTCTGCTTCCGCTTTCCAAAAAGTTGAATTCTCTGTTGTTCAGATACCCAAGGAGGACTGTGCAGCTCCTACCAGGAGCAGAAGGGCCTTGCAGGACTCAAAGAAATCTGAGCAAGAATTGCTGCTGCTGGTTAACAGCACTGTCAGGCTTATCCATTTTGCCTGCAATTTCCATCTTGGGGATATCCCACTCCGAACATGAAGGCAGTGAGCAGCAGTGTGCAGAGGAGGAACGTGGACTCACCATGTGCTCCATGCAGATGGAAATCTCCCCATCGCTGTAGAAGGCTCCATAGAAACCCACGATGTACGGGGAATTACACTCATGCAGCACTTGCAGCTCGCGGATAATCTGATTCCTGATGGCTGGTTTGATTTCTAAATGAATTAGCTACCAAGAGAAAAAAAATCATAGTACCTGGAAAACAGAAACAAAAAACCCACCAACAACAAAAGAAAAACAATGAGAACATGTGAACATGTCCTCAGTGCTGGAAAGAAATGAAAAAGCATTTGAGGAAGCTCTGCTTTGACCTAGACTTTTTTTGTTTTCCAACATTTAGGATAAAGGGGACAACCAGCACGCTGCGCAACCTGTCAGCAACTGAGGCAAACACAGAGATCGCACAGGATACAGGGCAGAAAGATAACTCCGAAGCTAGGTGCAGATCTGACTCAGCACGCAACATTTTCACAAGCTCTGTGGGTGTTGTAAGAATATAAGAGGTGTTCTAGTGCCAAGGAAACCACAGAAAGTAAATATATATATATTATATATATATATGCACTTGAAAGACCAAATGCATTATTAGGCTTCAAGTAGAGTCAGCTAACAAAGTTGCAGGCAGGGAAGCCTTAGAGGCTAGAAAACATAATGCCAGGTTATAAAAGCATCTACTGTTACTGTCAGCCCCAAGACTGCCTTCACCAGGGTCTTCTCCCTCAGCGAGCACCAGCTTTTCTAATAGGATATAAATCACCTACTTTTCGATTACAGGGCATCAAAAGAAGAGATAACTCCCATAAACCTATGTTTGAGAAGAACTGTTGCCATGACAGACTCGCAAGGCTGCTTAGATCTATCTGGGGGACCAATTAAAAGGACGCCGAGAGGTATTTCTCATTTTCTCATGTCTGTGCAGGAGCAGCTGAGCGCTTGGGCTTGCAGTAGCTCACAGCTACTGTGCTCACAGGGAATCCTTCCCTCTCTAACTTCCACCAGCAACGGTCATTCCTCGTTTGCCACAATCTCGGAGTCTGTTGCCTGTTTTTCTTCATCCTGCTTAGATGATCGGAACAGAATGAGCTTGTGTTTCCAGCAAGATGTGCTGCTAAACTCCAGGGATGTGCTGCGTCTCCCAGGAGAGACGACCAACGATTGCCAGGAGACCAGGGGACAGGGGCTCCGCACAAACCCAGCTCAGGGCAGCAGGGACAGTCATTGCCAGCCCAGGTGAAGAGGTTTGCATGCAAATTTGGAGGGCAGAGCAGAGCCCATTTCACAAACACGACCTGGCTGCCAGGTATGGCAAGAAGGTGCAGGAAACCTTCCCTCCCTCTGTAACGTGCAAGAGCTGCCCTGGGTTGATGTTTCAAAGAGCCACATCTGTTCCAGGGCAGCAGGAGAGAGTCTCCAGAGCTGATAACCAAGACAAAAAGCAATTTCATAGTAGTGACACTCAGTTCATCATGAGAACAGGTTACTGCAGACAGATCCCGACTGCATCCTGCTTTCTTGGGGCGGGATAAGCGCGTTCACGCTATCGCAGCTCCTCTCTGGCGGGCCCCAGGCACCTCCCTCTCCGTTACCTTTCGTGCCATGATGAGTCCTGAGGGTTTGTGCTGCACTTTGGTGACCACGCCGCCGTTGCCGGCTCCCAGTTCCGAGATCCGCTCGAAGTCGTCATCCTTCAGCTCCCCGACCTTGGCTTTCTGGGTGAGAAAAGCTTCCAGGCGCTTCTTTTGCTGCTCGTCTAGTTCCAATTCCTCGAGTTTCTTCTGAAGGTCTACTAGGTTTGCTCTAGAGAAAGACAAGGAGAGCAAAGGAGAAGCCGTTAGGAATTTGCAAGGCCATTGTCTGGTAAAGAGGGTCTGTCCTGTCCTCTGCTCCAGCAGCAGAGGCAAAATGAAAACACAGCTCACAACTGCTTAGAAAGGAGGGCACAAGGACCAGCAAAGCCAGGGGGAAGAGGTTTCCCAAAACCATTTAGTGGAAATCGCTCAGCACTGCATGGAAGGAGGGGGAATTACAAAAAACATCTTGTGCATAATCAGGCCAAAACCGTGATATAGCAGCGAGACTAAAACAAAGCTCGGGAGAGGCGCGAGGTTCGGCTACGCTGCTGACGGGGATGTGCGAGCAGCAGAGATCAGTGATGCAATATCTGCCCAACACTTGCATCTCTTCCAGAGAGGTTTTTTTTTAATAGTCAGCTGTTTCAGGAAACCCCAAGGAGTGTGTGGGGAAAAAAAATAGTAATAAAAAAATCAACCCTTAAAGGGGCAGCAGAGCTCAGCCTGGGGAGAGCGACAGCAGCAGCAAGCGCTGCCGTCCCCGGCGCGGCGGAGCTTGGGTTTCAGCGCGAAACCCGAGACG